TTTTTGATATTAAAAATAATTGAAGTATATTTGTTCCTAGCACTGAAGATTCAAATTTACATAAAATCACTATTATGACTAAATTTCAATACATGACTGCCTATATTCAATAGTGGCATTCATGCCTCAATCGATCATTCTAAAAAAAATCCACACTCCTGCCAGAGAGGAAATTTCTGCTGTCCGGAGAAAAAATGGTTTCTTCTAACAGTAATTGAATGAAAATGAAGACATCTGAATGGGGGGGGGGGTATGGATGTTTTCTGGAATGGCCCAATCTCATGTCTTGATTGAATATTATAACATTAAAGTATATTAGGCCATTTTTGCATTGTCTGGCTGCGTGCATTGAGGATAATTGTAAATACCGTACCAAAAACAAGAAAATGTTACTCGACTAGGACAAAAATTATGCTGCAAACTGTTACTACAAAACAAGTTAACAGCAACATTAAATTCACACTCGGAAATAAACCATTCAGGGTTCAGTAGTTTTGCATTATGAAAATATGCGCAGGTTTGCTTTAACCCAGTAACTCCAAGGCAATGGGAGTGTTAATGGATTAATACAAGAAATAAAAAAAATGTTGGTTGTGAAAACAAATCTGTTCTGAATAATGCATTTTAGTTCACAAAATGATTATAAAAATATATGTGGATTTTAAAAGAGAGCTTTTTCATCTAGAAAACTACATATAAATTAAGTTCTTTGTAGATTTAGCAAAAGTAAAATATAATTTTGTTCATCTAAAAAATTGTGCATCAATAAGGCCCCAGTTACACGATACCGGATTCGCATCGGAGCGACATCAAATTTTACTGTTTTGAGGTGAATTTGGCAACTTAAAATGATGATAACATAACATAATGAAACAGAAACTTCAAATATGAAAAGTTGTAATAGCATACACTTGAATGGAAAACACCTTAAATTGATGTCGCTCCAATACGAATCCGGTATCGTGTAACTGGGGTGCCTAAATAATGTTACATTTTGTTTTGTACAAAACAAAACTATATAATACTTTAACAAGTCTGCAAAACGTTTGTTTTTTAGTCTCAACAATTTTCTTGTTTATGATCAGAGGTATGTAATTATATAATACAACCAAATGGATGAAAGAAAAAGCCTACTTCTATATACAGTACGGTACGGTACAGTATATATTATATGATTGCCTGCATGGTTTAACTAATTATATGACATACTAGTATAAGATATAACACTGGCCAACCAAACACTCGACCCAACATTGGCAGCCAAGAAGTGCATGCCAACCTAAGTTTGCAGAAACCAAAAGTATCCTTCACAAGCATACATCAAAAACAAGCTTCACCCAAAACAACACAATTACAGAAACCTGCATTACAGTACAAGGAATTAAGTAAGACAACTAAAACTCTCCCGCGTGTTCGCTTTCCAGGCGTGTCAACAGAATACTTTTCTTGCCAGAAACAGAAAGGCCCTTTTCCCGCAAAAGGCATTTAAGTTGATCTACAGACAAAGTTCGCAATGACTGCTGAGGATTCACCAACGTGGAAGATTGTGAACCATGCATGGTGTCTTGGTGCACCTTCAACCCTGCCTTGTCAGCAAACCTTTTGTCGCACACAGTACATAGACAGGGCTTTAGAACAGCAACAACCTTAGGCAAAAGCATTTGCTCTTGAGCACATGTGACAACAATGGCACACTCACAACAGAATTTGCATTCTGTGTGGTTTATATCATCTTTCTCTCTTCCACAATACAGAATCTTGGTATGTCACAATGAGGGGGTTTACGGGATTTAAAATGTGAGTTCTATGAGGGCGGAGAAGGATGGTGCTCAGGCAAATAGAAAGATCTGATGTAATTTGATCTCATTAATTGCCACCACTTTCCATTCTTATCAGTGCTACGAGACCGATTTGTCATAGAAAGTTCACCCTTTAGTCCAGCATGTTTTGACTCTTTGGCCTGTAATGAGAGCATACCATACCCAACTCCATACTTTTCATACAACTGCTTTGCATGGTAAGGCAAAGCATAAGCAACTGTCCAAACAGTCACATTCACACTGTGTGGAAAGAATAGCACCAACAAGTTGAAATAAAGTGTACAGAATTCATTTAATTGAGAAATCTCTCCCGGAATGTTAACATAAACTTTGTTAAACAATCCTCCAGCATTTCTCAAGTACTGCACTATCTTTCCAAGAGCTAGTCGTCGTAATTTTTCACCTTCAGTTTCATTTGCTGTTTGCAAGGAGTCAACAATTCGGTAAGAATACCTTGCCAGGGCAATAGCTTGTGCTCCAATAAGCCTAACACTGAGTTTATTCAACCGCTTAGCCTCATCTGCGTAATGTTCTTTCACCTTGGTCGAGAGCAATGCCAGACCACATCCGTGCACACAATTAGAAAGGTTATCCGAAGAGGCAAATCTTGAAGTCTCCAGCATTGCCGTCATGTTGTCAGAGGCAGCATCTTTGCTCAACTCCCAGACAGTAAAGTGTCTAAGCATATCTGGCGAAAGGCTTGAGTTTTGGCAACTCACTCCAATCTCTTCTTCTGCAAAACTTCTATTAATACATCAGTGCCTGTGGATTCAAGAGCACTATCAACACCCTCCCCTATGAGGTCAACAGCCCTTTTAGGAGTGGCATGATTTTCAGATGATTCCTCAATGAGAGAATTTTGACCACTCGGTCCAATGGGGGCTGATAATGTCTCAATAAACTTTTCAAAGCAGCATCGTAGAAGTGATTCAGAATAAAGTAAATCAAGGATGTGCTGCCAGGCATTTATCTCACAGTGCAAGGGGTCAGGTTTAACCCGGTCAGCGAAAATCCCAATTCTGGGTTTTCCTAACTGGCGTATCCCGTTATCAGCCATAAATGCCAACTTCTTGCTATGCACTGTTGGTGAACTTAAACTTTTGGGTAGGCTGGCAAGGTATGTGTCAACCATACCTAGATGTTTCTCACGCTCTGTCATAGTATAAGGCTTCCACAAATCTACATCACTTTGCCCAATACTCCCACCCATTGAGCACATATTGCCCTTGTGAACATTGGCATATGGTGAAGGATAAGTGGCTGCCTGGTTAACTTCGTTACAGGCCCAACTCTGCCAACTCATATCAGCACTTGGTTGAAACTCAATATTCCACTCTTTACCTGACACAGTGAAAACACTTGCTTCTAACAACAGCATCTCCTGAGTATGCTGATGCCAAAGAGATTGAAGAGCTTCATGCTTCTCACCTAGACTTACACAATGTAAAAGATACTGATATTCTCTACTTCTCACCCTTTCGCCTAAGTTCCAAAAAGTTACACTGCCAATAGACATAGAAAGCTGAGAGGTTTCAGGAGCTCCATCATCTGAGAATTGGAAAACAAAGTGGTTAGCATTACCATGAAACCAGACAAGCTGCTGGCAGAGGTGAGGAAGTCTTAAATGAAGGTCCATTATCATAAATACGAGGCCTGTAATTGTCCTAGTGACACCAGGTACATCAGGAATTTGACAAACACAACCAATATCTAGGGTTTTGACGAATTTCTCAATACTTTCATTAGATATATGGGAAAGCTAGAGTTGAATGTCAATACCCATACACTTAACATTCCTTGGCACCCACACATTCTTATTTGGATCAAAAACAGATGATTGAGTTTTACAAAGGACATTAAATTTTCTACGGGATAAAAAATTAGTATATTTAAGATTTATAGCTTCCGACAATGTGTTTTTAGATTGTGTATAATCTTTCACTGTTTTTCTTACTATCCCTTCCACATACTTTCCTCTCCTATAGTTACCAATGAGGTTTTCCATCATAGCCTTTGGTGCTTCTGCTGACACAAAGTCCCACGCACCAAGCAATGCTCCATTTTCACCACCATGGATGAACTCAAGGACATTTTTGGTTTCTCCTCGTCTTCAGTAGCGTACTCCAGAATTAGGGTTGTTGATGGTATCCAAAGTAGTGCTGGTGTTTAGTCTACGTGTTCGAGATTGGGTTTTTTGATTAAGCAGAGTTTTAAGTTTCTCATACTGTTTCGAGATTTCCTTAATCTTTTGTTCTTCGACACTCAACTTCTCTGCTGTCTGTTCGCGTTCACTAACCAACTTATCTAAATTAGATCCTGTAAAAGTAAATATTACATTATATAATTCAGATTCAATTTAGTTGCAAGATAATATCATGGATAATAAAATAAATAGATAGGAAACTAGCTGACGTGACCTAATGTTTTTAATGGGCTGATGGCGTGGTTGGATGTTGAAACCTGGTTGCAAACCAAATTCTCAAAAACGGCATGTTTAGCAATAATACAGCTAAACATTTTAGTCAAAGGGCAAATAAATATGACTCTGCCATTCTACGATGAAATCTCTAAGTATTCCCAGTCAATTTTGGCAAATATTTCAAGCACTAAACAGTGAAAAATTCATCGCAAATTTCGTTAAAATTGAGGACGCCAATTTCGTAGCTACAAATGTAAAAAAATACAAAACAAAGACGAAAAACATTTACCTTGAATACTTTGTCGTGGCTTAGGCATGTTTTTAAAACAATTAGACCAGTTTATGCTTCAATATTACTCTTTTAAAGCGGAAAATATAGCGAAACAACAAAAATGCCGACAACTTTGCAATACGTGTGACGTCACAGATTGCAACTAAGTTGTTTTTGCTTACGTCAGCTAGAGTCCTACCGTATCCATTTATTTTATTATCCATGATAATATAGATGTGCATTTTTTAAAAAGAGAAGTACGAGAAGGACTGACCAATGGTCATCAAGATGTATGGACTAAAATAATATGCAATTTTCAATACCGCCAGGTTATTGTATGGGATATTGCAGTCTATTGTGTTAGAATCAAACGATCTGGCCCTACGGTGCATGGGTGTACATTTGTGACAAACGTTTAACTTGTTCAATTGGCAGATAGTTTGATTAATTTAACCAATTAACAGGCAACACTTTACATTTAGAAAGTATAAAATCATATGCCATTAAGACAAAGCAAAAAGCTAGAAAATTTTAAATCAAGCCCTTCAAGGGAGGGGGCTTGGAGGCATTACTCAGGAAGGAACACCAATTACCAAATAGCCTGATAACAGACCTACGTTTTGTCCGCCCTAAAATTCGCGGGTCGACGAAGGGCAAAAACGTAGGTCTGATGAAAATGTTGTCAAAAGTGCATGTAATTCCAGGCGGTCGACAAAGCTGATTGGCTAATTCACAGGGAAATGGATTGTGATTTGTTGGTCGCTAACATGAAAAGATTTGAAGAGATCAGAATATTTTCAACGGTAAATCAATGCATATAAATATGCATACAGTGTAATATTATAAATATTTTGTGATGATGAACGACAACTAGTCTATGATCAGTATCTACCGTCTAAAATTAAAACTAGAGGGGAGTAGAGCAGTACGTGTCGAATTCTTCAGCGTTGTATCTTTCCATTGTAATAAACAATACAATATATATAAATTTTTTATACACGATCTAAGTTTTGTGATTAATCATAATAAAACTCGGGTACAAATATGTGCGCATTCATGATTTACATTTTGATAACATAGGCAGCACGTACAAAAGATTTTATTTAGATTTTACCATTGTATGGCGATTTCAAATGTATAAATTGTAAGAGTTGGGATGCAATTCAACAATGGCACATTGGCCATTGCCAAATTTGCATAGGCAGGTTTTATCGCATTTATAGAATGTGTTGAAAATGAACATTGTATTATTACACGCAACAGGCTCCATGGGGTTACCAATATTTTAAATATTTATTCAAATATCTGTACTTATCGACTCTTAGTAGTTTACAAACTTGCAATAAAGTGAACTCGACAACTTTCATTGTATTTTTAGGTATTATATGTATGTTTCAATCATCATCGTTAATTATTGCAAAATGCAAAGTGGGCGGAAGGCACTTTTGACAACATTTTCATCAGACCTACGTTTCACCCTTTCCGTCGACAAATTTTAGGGCGGGTGAAACGCAGGTCTGTTATCAGGCTAATTAGCAAACAAAACAAACTCCTTCAAATAAATGGTAGTAAAGATAATTCGTTGTGCATTATTAATCATATGAATTTAATACAGTCTTACAAGTTGAAGACATGGGTTTTATAGTTGGGAAAAGTTCTCCTGAACCCAGTTTGAAGTTGCACTTGTTTCGGCTTGAAATACAGCCGTTGTATCAAGACGTGAAAATCTGGGATTTGGCTAGGTGGGATTCTGGGCAACCATTTTTCAAATCCACAGGGTCCTTAGCGACTATAACAATACCCGGCCCCCATGCACATATATGAAGGACAAATTCCTGACCCCTGTGAACTGTGTATCAGGTGAATTCCCGGGGATGTCCGGGGGGTGGGGGGGTGGTCACTGCAGGAATTGACTCATGCATTAAAGTGCAGGATTGTCTTGTTGACAATGGCGAATATGGTCTACCTGTTGTCTGAGAAAACCCCACTGTCCATTGCAGCAAAATTTAGTAATTATAGCTAGCTAGCCTTAGTCCCATGGCCAGTCAACAGGAAATACCCACACAATGATGCATGCAAACAAAACGTTTTTATAGTATATCAAAAACTATTTATTTTAACAGATAAATTTATGTATTACAAAACAAAGTGGTACTTACTGGCAACGGCTACTTTTTCCTCTGCTGCCGTAAGGAAATTTTTCATTTCATCTTGCTTTCCTTCAAGTTGTTGTTCGGCAAGTTCAATTTCCGCCTTCTTTGCTTCGACATTTTCAACGTCCTTTGCCAAACGACTTTGCTGGTTTTTCACTTTGTAGACAGCGGATTTCTGCCAGTATTCATGAAAAACCCTATTTTTGTCACATTTTCCAATGTGAGAGCTATTCTTGCTGCATCTTTTGCTTTTAGAACAACGTGTTTGGCGACTAGATTTGAAAAGAACGGCAGGGGTCGAGCAAACAATATGGCGAACACAATGAAGCTTATGAAATGGAACAATAAAGCGATTTACAGGATACTTTCTTACCTCTCTTTAGCTTGGCTATCCATTCATATATGTTAACATATCAAAGATCTTTCTTTTCAATTTTAAAATATTTTCAAACGTTTATTTTAACAAAAGGATTTCTTTACATTATTTCCGATTTATATGCAATTTTCGCCTTTCTTGCTCAATAGCGCACCCAAAACAAAGATTCAGGGGGGAGTTTAAAATAGGGGGGTGTATATAACCAATACCTTACTCAGGGGACCCATGACGGTAGGATTTAGTCAACCATGAGCTAGTGTAAATAAGATAATGCTCGGAGAAGCGAGGTGAACTTGAGCACATATTACGCAAACTATTTTAACGCAATTGAATTTCTAGTTTGATATTATTGTGTGGAGAAGATTCATTTATTCATATTCATTAAAATATTTATTTGGAACGATAATAAAGCAAAACTATATTGCTTCAAATTGGGGGCATTTAAAACCGCGCGAAATTCGCATGATAGGGAATTGGGAACTAATTGCCTGCTGTGCCGCCGGAAAGGAGGAAAATATCCTAGTAACTGACCACCGTGAGATGGTGGCTTGCCCAGCGTGGTCATTTCAAGGTTTTTCATGTTGTTTGAAAGTGCTCTAAGTTCTGCAATTTATATTTTCAAATATGAAACTGTGAAAGCAGTGACAGAAAAACAAAAGAAAGCAATCTTTTCTGTTTTATCGGGCCGAGATACATTTGTTTGCTTTCAAACTGAGGTACGGTAAATCTTTGATTTACCAAGTTGCTCCCACAAAAACCGGTTTGATATCACATGGTGAACATCACTCATTGTCATGGCAATTTTTGCACATGTGCGACAGAAAACATGTCAGATCTAGGCAGAGGTCTCTTAATTCTCATTCGCTAATTAATTTCCTGCACAAATAGAAAACTCTGTCAGCAGGGAGGCTATTTGGTCGCTAATGGCGCATAGTGCATCATCAATTCTATTTGCACTAATAATGGATGAATTATATTAAGTGTTATATTGCTGAAAACTGTACATTTCCGTGGTAGTAAAGTTGTGCAAAAGGTACATAATAACTGTGCATTGCACATTTCTGTTATAAAGAATTACATTGAATATTTTTATTGCAAAACTTGCAAACCTTGTTTTTTTTAAACTGATCCAATACTTCTGTGGATGCTTGGAGCTTTTTCAAGAAATTTAGCACTTGTAAAAAACGATATTGAATAGTAAAGATTTACTGAATAATAAAGCAGGTCTCAATACTATGACAAAATATCTTGCAGGGAGCCGTTCACAACAGATGAGGGTTTGAACCGGAACTTTAGTATAGGCCACATTAGGTGGCGTGAAAAGGGGTGGGGACTTTTAAAAACAAGTAATAGCTAATTTTAGCAAGATTGACATTTTGAAGAAAGAGCAATTAGTTGAGACTGGGAGAAATAATGTGAGACTGTGAAACATTTAATATATTTTAGTTTTGTAAGTTTTATTTTTGGATTTTTGGATTAAAATATTATAGTATACTACGTGTGTGATGAGTTCGGTATAGGGCTCGTTAGAAATTTTTCAAAACACTTGGCTTTGTGAGTTTGTGCCGCTATGCCTTCTCTACTTAACTACGACATTTTCATTCAGCCAAGTACAACATCAAATTTATCAAAATGTCAAGTGTATAATAATAGTGAGAATTGTAGCTATTTCGCTTCAGATATATTGATATACTTAGGGAAATCATTGAAAATAATTTCCCTTTTCCCCTGGAATTTGGGCGTCCAAAGGCGTCCATTTTTCGTTCTAGGGGCATCCAAGGATGCCCGGATGCCCTTCTGGCTAAAAGCCTGCCGAGAGGTTGCACAGGAGAGGCCCCAGCTATGGTGTCATACTTCAATAATTGTAAAACAGGAAACATAGTGTTGTGCAATATTTTGCACTTTATTAGATATCATCTGCCACTGACTGTCAGCTTGGATTTATATCCTTGCTTTACGGATCAGAGGCCTGGGGGGAAATGCCCCTGCCTCCGCCCCCCACCAGCAGCACTGATACCAAGAGGTACAATTGGATTGAGTGACGGATTGGGGGAAGGCACAGCACATACTATTTTAGTTTGTTTAATGCCAGACAATTTTGCTTGTCAAGGGCAGAGCACTGGCACACTCAAATGGTAGGGTATTATAACATGAAAAAACATGACCTTTCACAATTGATCAGTGCCAAAATAAACAATAACTTTACTGTGTGGCCAGAGGTGTGTGGCCACAAACACAGCATGAATGCCTGCAGGGGGGCATTTATTATATTTTTTATCATCTTGCTTTGGAATACCTGTCGTAGTTAAAATACCTCTTGTTAAAATGTAAATAAATTTAGTTTGTGCATGATTAAACATTTAAAAATTTTTAACTTTTCTTTGTGATGCCTGTCATTGTCAAGAAAGCATTCAAAGCAAAGTCAAAAGGCTTGATTGACTTTGAATCTTAACAGCTAACTGTTATAAAACAATAAATAGGCTCTTTGCAGTTTAATAGTTATACATGCAGTTGAGAACATAAGAGACTGGAGAGCATGGAGAGTTGTGAGATTTGTAAACAAAGGAGTATATTAAAAGAGAAAGCACAAATTTTCCTTGTCCTCCATGACCATATATTGTTTATGTTGAGCGGGCAAACAACGACTGTGAATAATTTATTTATTTAAATCTCAGATGTAAATTTTCTTTTGTATTTCTGTTGATGCATAATATGTAAAAAAGTCACACTCACCTCCTGTAAACTTTCTGTAGACTGCTCCATATTGAACGTTTCGAAAAATAGTTTATAAAGCGCCTGCAACAATACGTTTTTGCTCAGCGGAATATTTTGGCGCGCTAGAAACATGAAATTTCATGATTTTACTTGATCAACAAAACTTGATTTTAAATAAGAACCCGGGGGGTTAAAAATACAAACCTGGGGTTTAAAAAATAAAAACCTGGGGTTTCAAAAAACAAAAACCTAGCTGGGGTTTTAAAAATGAAAACCTGGGGTTTTGAAAAATAAAAACCTGGGGTTTTGAAAAATAAAAACCTGGGGTTTTGAAAAATAAAAACCTGCGGTTTTACAAAATAAAAACCTGGGGTTTTAAAAATGAAAACCTGGGGTTTTAAAAATAAAAACCTGGGGGGTTTTAAAAAACAAAAACCTGGGGTTTTAAAAATAAAAACCTGGGGTTTTGAAAATAAAAACCTGGGGTTTTGAAAATGAAAACCTGGGGTTATAAAAAATAACAAACTGGGGTTTAAAAAAATAAAAACCTGGGGTTTTAAAAATGAAAACCTGGGATTTAATAAAAGCCTGAGTATTTCGTAATAAGACCTGGGGCGTTAAAAATAAAAGCTGAGGAATTGAAAATAACTTGTGCGTTTGCCAAACAAAAACCTGGGGTTTGGTGTCCCTTATGGGCCGCCGTAAGTTCTACACAAAATGTGCAATTCTAAACCCATTTGTGCAGTTCTTAAAACACAATTGTGCAGTTCTTAAAACACAATTGTGCAGTCAGCAAACTAGCAATAATAGCCTTAATTAAAACATTTACTCATTACCATTGTGGATGCTGCAAAAAATTCAAGAAATGCTGTCATTAATTGAGCATCAAAAATATAAACGTTTTCTGGGGGAGGACTCCAGACCCTCCTTTTTTCCTCACAAATCACTTACGTGCTGGGGTAATGGAAAAGAAGGTAAAATTGGGGTGAGCCCCCAAAAGAGATTAGAGTGGGAAAACCTAATATTCTTTGCTTTTATTATATATTGTATTCATGATTCCCAGTTGCATGTTTTGAAACAGTTTTTGTGAGTGGTTGGGTAAAACAAATCTTTGCCAGAACATAAGAGCCTCTAGATTCAAATTGTTTCGAGTTTGTCTGGCCTTTCTCCAATTCTTCCACCCAACCACACCAATATTGTGTCACCTTTTATGCAGGTAAAAAATCCTTCGACCCCCCCCCCCCAGTCAAACACCCGGTTGTCTTCGTAACTTCCCTACATGTGTGCAGTTATAAATTTTTCTTCAAATAAACCCTGTGTTTACAATAAGACTAATATCAAACGTTTTAGCTCTGTTTTGGAAGTGTTTTTACAGGACATTAAACAACAGTCCGCATTCTGTAACCTTACAAATGCAGGAAGAAATACTAACACAGAAAAACTAACACAGAAAAACTATTATTTGCAATGTGTATGTGTTTAAAAAGTTAATTGAAAAGTGAGCAGTATCATCACATTCCGTTTATAATTCTTTATAAAAAGGGCCACCAAATATTATAATTTCATTTTTTTCTCCAGTTTCCACTGACCCACTAGGGCTTTGCAGTATTTAAGTTTCTCCATAAGTTGTGAAGTTGGATTTTTTAGCAAGGTTTTTGATGTTAGTAATTTCGCAGCTTATCGAAATGTTGCTGCTCTCATTAGCTGTTGTTTGATTGTGCACAGTTCTGTGATATCTTGGTTTCCATGACTGGTAAGATATGTAAGTATTCTTTTATTAGATAATAACTATTGTTGGGTGATGTCCTCAATCTCTTTCTCGCCTTGTCAAACTGTGATACCTCCTCAGTCCCAAGATATAGGCCAGGTTTTGTCCTTGTTTTGTGTCAGTTTTGTTTTTCAACTGTGTTCCTAAAATAGACACATCTAAATATGTTTAACTATAAACAGGTGCATCACCACATACTCATGCCTGATTATCAGATTGAGTTGGTATGTTAATCAGCCCTTATTGAAGGTTATTTCCAGGTAATGTGTCAATATAAATATATCAATGTCAGTGCAAGTACCTTCGTCCATAATTCAGCTTCAGTTAAATTCTTCAATCTGTTTTTCGTGAGCAATATCTTCAATAACCTCCACTATCATTGCATTATGTTGAATGACTTCATGGTCACTGCTACAAGTTTCAATGCCACCAGTTTGCACAACATCACAACCAACCTCTGTCTCAATACCAACATCTTCACACCCAACCAATGTCTCACTACCCACCTCAACATCCTCCCAACCAACTGCTGTCTCTACCCACCACGACATTTCACAACCAACCATTGTCTCACTACCCACCATAGTATCATTACTAGCCAGACTCTCATCCACAACACCAACATCCTCACTTCCTGATGTACAACTTTCCTCAATATCCAACAACATCACTGGCCTTCCAGGTCATTACACTGATCAGTGCAATGTCCTCCAAAACCAAATTCTTTGTCATCCTCCCTGCTGGTTTGTACTATCCACTCCTGCAGTGTTCACAAATACCAGGTTACCCTCAGAATTTTCAATCTGAAGCACTTTGATTGACAATTGTACTTTTCTCTCCAAACATGTTTCAAGTAAGCCTCCTCTTTCTTGAAGTTGCTGGAGGGAAAGTGTGGTGCAAGGTTGGTCCTTGAGGAACTACTTCATAATTTCCCTTTCCATAAAAAAAAAACTCAATGTCTCCATTCTCACATGTTCTCCACCAAATTCCTTCACCTGCTAGTGCTAATAAGAAATCACAGATCCTTTCAAGATGAGCTTGCCAAGGTCTGTAATTGCTTACTAGCATCTGCTTAGGGATAACTGTGTTTCCAAAATCTGGCAGAGAAGATTCAAGCTTGGAAACATGAGCTTGTTGCATATCAGCACAGATATCTTATATCCACTAGATAGCGCATCCCATTTAGTAAAATTGAAGCCAAGAATATTCCAGTGGTTACCCCCATTTGAATAGATGGCGGCCATGTTGGTAGTTCCCACTAGCTAATACACGCTTAAAAACAACAATAACTTTCATCATTTGAATAGTTTAAAAACATATTTGGAATAGGTTTAACTTGATGTTTAAGTTCCCTGTTTAAGAAATAGAAAATATACGAATCTTCTCATTTCACGGGAATATCCCGAGTCTGCAATCAGGGTGTCAAATTTTTGAATTGCAAAATAATTAGATGCACTAGCTAGTGTAAATAAGATATCCTATGCATATCATAGGTTGTTGACTGGCCTTGAATTCTTTCTCAGCCTGGACTCGGGGACAAAAAAGTTGCCAATGATATGATCTGGGTGGTTAGAAGATGTCATTTGCGTTATTTTGTTCATGCTGTGTTAAATACTCATTCCTGTTCTTCAATGTTTGTTGATACGCCACTTATCAGTCTGTTTTGGATTGGTAATGTACTGTAATGTTGTGGAAGTAGTTACTTTCGAGTTGTCATTTGCTTCAAGGAAAATCCAATCACTCTCAGAACTGATTGTGCTGTTATCTGAGCTTCTGAACTGTAGGCTATTGTATATAGTTGAATTTCAACAAGGGTGTCAAGCAACAATTGAACTATTTGATTAACTGAGCCTCCAAGCTGATTTGAAACCACAATCAAAGCACAGTGCTGATCAATAGTTCGCTTTGTGTCTTTCACAATACACAATTCAAAAACAGCCTTCAGTTTAGAAGCCTCATCTTGATGATAGGTGGTCTAGTAGTTCACCAAATAGATTTTTGATGTGCTTCCCAATGTCTTGGAGAGGTTCAAAACCTAGAACTTCATAACCAGCACAGTAAATCGATTCTAAGGTTATGTTGGGACTGGTAAATAGATGGGCTGGTACTCTTTGCACTCCACACAACACCTCCTTTAGCAGATCTTAGACTCTTTCATCTTATCTCCTCCGTAGATTGTCCTAGCATTTAATTCGCATACCAAATTGGTTTTTGTTAGTCCATGAAATGGTTTGTTTGACATTGCCAGAGCTTTACCAAGTCGACCTTTCAAAACCAATTGCTGTCAATCTTCCAGTGATATATGTGGGCAACAAAATACATAATCAAGTTCATGCACCCGGTGGGCATTGGCACCACATACAGCACAGTAGAAATTTCCCACTTTTGTTGGCCAGCTTTGTATTGATGAGAAGGACTACCACCATGAAAAAACCTCATCTTGTCCACAATTGGTATACCAGAAGCTGATATACTGTGGGATCAGGGAGTTCATCCAAACATTCAAGTCTGGTTTCCACATAGCACAACTGATCTTCATCGGAGGACGAGGGCCTTGCCACAATGTACAGACTTGGAGCTTCGACTAATGACTGGATGTTGACCTTTTTTCTTGTTATAACTTCATACTCGTTGTTAGTGTAGAATGTGGCTGGGTCATATAGGCAGGTTGCCATTAACACAAGGTGAGAATGGTTAGCTATAGTTGAGAGATCATGCCATACCAGTAAATGCATGGTTCTTTCCATCACTTTTAATCTTTCTCTCATCTCGGTCTCATCCTCCCCATCCATGTTCTCGTTTGGCATGTCTAGCCTGTTCACAACTTTCTCTTCACTCATGCTACCTACATCTCTCTCAACTCATTCAGCTTTTGTTTTCTAATTTCAACCAGTGGGCATTTGCATCCTTCCACAAAAAGTGTGACTTTTCAAATGAACCATCCTCTTTGAGCACTAGCTTCTCATACTAAACAAAAATATACAGTTGGAATACTAATGTGGATCTGAATTTATTTTTCTATAGTGGCATACTGTATATGGAATCACAAAGAGGATTTAAATTAAAGTGCATGCATGGTCTGACCACATATAGACATTGTTATTCTACAAATCTGCCAAGTCAATTATTCTGGACATCAGTAAGTATACCAATGACTTAACTTAGTTATTATAATCAAACATTACTGGTTCAATATTGAAAATATAATTATAAAACAGTCATATGTTGTGTATGGTTTAAAACTATTTTCTCATCCATAATTCCACATAAGTTTGTCTCCATGAGAAGTTGAATTGATCATTCTTTATATATTGGGCAAGTAGTAATTAATATAGGTTGTTTTCCTTCAATAAGGTGGGCAATCTATTGGATTTTACAGGGAATAGTGCTTGGATGTTGTTGAATTTGAGCTGACATGGCTTGCAATCTTTGAATGTATGTTCAGTTTGCATCGCCACAGACAGTTAATTCCAAGCTTTGATCTTGAACGCTGTGGTCTACTGATTGAGCTCAGTGACCTTCCTGCGATTCCACTCAGTCAATTTCTCGCAAAGAGCAAAGAGATGGGGAAATTGCTTGAAATAATTTAAGATCTACAGGGAAGTTCTCCTTGCAGTCTTGGAATATATCCGAAAACCAGTCATATCTTTCCCGCATCAATCACATGTGACCTGTTGTCTTCACATTTGATATTTTCATCTGTGTCGACTTGTACTGCGATTTGCCAAGTGACTTCTCACGCAAAGCTGCACTTCAAAGGATTTAGGAATGTCCCACACATTAACAATGAACATATCGACTTAAATTCAATGAGCTACATACCCTATAATTTAGTGAACTTGTAAGTATATTGTACAGAGCCAATGATTGTGTTTCTTTACTGCTGTAGAAAGTTTGGGAATTTGCGCCTAAATTTGAAACTTGCGGATTTGCATCATGATCATGCAGATCTTGGGATAATTTGATATATGCCACTTGATGAATATATATTTTTGTGTGTTTTGTCGCAAACCGACTTATATACTTTGTGTATATTCATCAAACATATAATCAGTAGAAGTACTTTTAATGCTATTACAGAAAGCAAATAGTATATATATACATGCTGATTTCTTGTGCTGTTGTCTATCGTTATTATAAATATGCTGTTACAATGCACTATATCGTATTTTGAATATAAAAATTTGCTACGAAAAGTGAACACATTCTGCTGTTTTTGCCATGTTTGTGTCTGCCATGTTGTTAAATGTGACAATCACCATGGAAACAGCATATTTTGGTGTTTAAACATAGAATAAAGATCCATATAGAAGGGCCATGCACTTACGTCGGAAGCTTTGAAGTTTCTGTCCTCGCGCATGGTCGCATTACGCATGTTGCCCGCCATTTTCCTAGCAAGTCAATGACATTTTCTGGCCAATAAATACGCTGTACTGGCTGGCTGCTCTGCCTTCTGGCCAGTAAACTGCATATTTTTGCATAAAAAAATGCGGACACGTTGCACCGCTGAGTGGCCCTTCTGTTACTGATCTTTATTCTGTGGTTTAAATACGTATGACGTACAGCAGGGTAAATGTAAGGTTTTTTTATTGTTTTATGAGCTAAAACTATTAACAAAGAGACAAAGTTTCTTGAATGAATTTTGAAATAGTATGTTTATATATGAAAAACAGCAATTAATAAGGTGATTGAAAGTCATATTATGCACATGATCATCATATAATCTTACAACATAATCAAACGAGGGTCTAAATGTCGAATTCAGATCACTAACATCGGTATCAGATGAAACTAAACAGAGCAATTCTGCATCATTTTAAAGCACAGATTATGCTGCAGAGCCCCTGTGACCCAGGCATTAACATACCTGAGTTGTTAGCTTATTTTTATCAGGCTTCCTTATATATTGAAATAGATATATTTAACAGTACGTAGTGGAACATTCAGTAGCAAATACTATTTAAGATACATGAACAAACAAACACACCATAATTTATTGTAATATACAATATTTTTCTGTCATATAATTTAATCAAATTATTCATACTATAAAAAATATTATTTAAGTATAATTAGATAAGATCTTTATTTTAAATGAAATAAGACAGTTAAACAATTTGTAAGTTTTACAGGTGAAGTGAATTAAAGAATTTTGGACCACAAAATTAGCCAATATGTGTTGATATATGCAGAAGAATATCACTGTATTAAATGGATGATTCCAGCTATGACTATTTTTTTTTCTAGACAAGAAATCTAACATTCGAGCTCAAAAGAGCGTCCTAAAATTAGTAAAATTGCAAAGTTTTGGCAACGTTGCTAATGTGGAAAAGTTAGTTCCTCCAGTTCTATTCAATTTTTTTGCTTGGGGACTCGGGTTTTCGGATGATCCCGAAGAATCAAAGTATGTAACCTTACAGGACGATCGGTCTTTAAAGTTGTTTTCCATATGTCAGGATCTGCTGTACATTTTTAGTGGTGGTAGAACTGTGTGATTTACTCAGACCAAACGCAGCAAGTCTTCTTTGCACAGTTCACTTCCCTACACCCAGGGGCGTAGGAACCGGGGGGCATGGGGGGCACGTGCCCCCCCAAATTTTTTAAAAGGTAAAAAGTGCCCTTTTTTGTGATGAAAAGTGCCCTTTTCTTTCAAGCCTATCTGCATAATAAAATTGAAGGTGCCCTATTTGTTTCCTAAATACATTTACAAATTACATATGCGCTTTTACACAATTATAAGCTGGTTGTAAATGCTAATACAATGTTGTAAATACTAATAGAGTTTTGCGATGGAAAAAGCTTTTTTATTTCACAAACACTACGGAACCCAAATGACCTCGAACACGCCTGTTTTAAACGCGTAGTTTCACGCATGAAACATGCATGTTTGGCTTTAGAAACGTCCCAATTTGCCTTTGCATGTGTTTCACACGTGAACAGCTGAACTTTGACTTCATAGTTTTTGGGCGTTCTACGCACAAATCACGTGAAAGACATGCGTTGCTAAAAGCAAACGCCAACGGTGACGTTTCTACACATGGGCATTTATGTCGCAAACACTGCTTTAAAATTGCAAATATAGGATGCTCTTTTGTTTGTTAAACAGTAAAAACAATATTATTTGCCGTTCCGCAGTTTTCAGTTTTACACAAGCCA